AAAAGAATCTGTGACAAAGGGCAACCTTGGCGGAGTCCAACCCTCACCGGAAACAACTCCGACTTACTGCCGGCAATGCGGACCAGGCTCTGACACCGGTCTCTGAATGACCGGCGTCAGAGCCTGGTCCGCATTGCCGGCAAGATTTTTTGATACAAAATTTGTAAATTATTTTCTAAAACATGTTCCCATTTATTTACAGCAAATTGTAGCAGCAACTTTAGCCTCTATATAGATAGACCGAACTACCTAAATAGAGGCTGGAGTTGCTCAGTCAATTTGTTTAGAAATGGATTTGCAACTATTTTGGCAAAAAAAAAAAAAAAAAAAAATCTTGAATTAATTATATGTACTTCATAAAATAAAATAAGTATAGTTAACTGATGCCCACTTAAATACTTATATATTTAGAAATAAAATAATTTCTAATTTTAAAAAATAATTAGACATTTAAATGATTTTTTTAAAAAAGGCTATTATTAATTTGAATTGTGGTATTTGTCAACCTCCATATGACCACTGTTTTTTATTTAGAAACTAGCCATCTTAATACCATGTATAACTACTTTGCCTGTCATCTGTTCATGAATTTCCTTAAACAGGGGCTTTGTGTGTTAATCTTTCAAATCTACCATCCTGCTTCATGTTGTCAGATGGGTTCCATTTTATTTAATTTAGTTGTTTATTATCTTAGTTTGGTATTACACAGGCCTGAGTTGGTTAGTTTATTATTATTTTTTTTTTTTTTTCGGTTATTCCTGTTTTATTTATTTGATACCCAGTATGACAATAAATAAAGAACAAAAGAAGTCCATGGGGGACAGACACCTTTTTCATAGTGCTGTTCATTACTAAATTAAAAATGTAGATGTTTCCTACACAAAGAAAACAAATTATGATTGAGGACATTCAGGATATTCACGGTAACTCTGAATATTCCAAAAATGCGTCTAATGCACTACTTAATGTTAATTGTCAAAGGCAGACCTAATGTGCAGCCAGTGCGAGCAAGCCATGTGCACTCAGCATATTCTGGAGCTCTGAAGTACACAGGGGATGATAAACTTCAGCAGATGGGCATAGCGCAGGAACTGTTAAAGCTGGAAGATTCATTAGGAGATTAGTCCAAGTTAAGTTTGCGAAAGCTGCAGCATTTACATACAGAAACCTCAGTGTCAGCAAAAGAAATATTCAACTGCTGGCATAACATTAATATTAATGATCTGTTTCTGGGGCCATATATGCTGCCTTGTTTCCTCCCCGGGGTCAGGCCTGTTTCTCTCAAAGGTTTTGCAGTGCCCTATCCCGCCTTAACATCTGTTACGGATCCCTGCCTTGTGCCAGGGGCGTACAGACATCCACACCGTCAGCACCAGGTCTGTCGCTGCCTGCCAAGCATCTGATCAAAGAGGACAGCTGTCGAGTGGATGTGCATGCCAGCCAGAGCCGCTGTATGAATGAGAAACAGGGAGATGGAGGAAAAGAAGAGAAAGAAAAATATACGCTTCTACTACTAGCAACAGCAATGAAGACATAAACAATGAGTTGTGGAGATTTGCTATATCATTGTTTTACTTCATCAGTAGTAGAATGAGCAACATGTCTGCAAAAAAAGGGAAATAAAAAGGAATTTACAAATCGTACCCTTAGGAATCTGTAGTTTTTGTCTTACATGCCACAGATACGTCTAGACATAGAATTGAAGTTCTATTTCAGTTTCTTTTAAGGGGTTACATTGCATTTGAAAATCTGTTTTTTTTTGTTTTTTTTTACTGGACAGATCTCTGTTTTGCTCATTACTCTGAGTTTCCTTCTTGAAACATACATGTTTGAGGTGTCCACGGAAACATCAGATTCGGCTAAAAGCTGATATGAACAACTTTCTTAAAACACCAAACGGTTAAACTACAAGGAGTAAAATGAAAAAGATCCCCCCGAAAAAAAAAAAATGCTGTCACTGCAAATCTTTCAGTTATTCAGCAGATGGTTTAGTATGAAGGTTCATAATTAGATTCAAACAAAGAAACCTCTCTGCTGAAAGCAGACATCTTACAGATTCCTAAATAATTGTGTCAAAATCAACCAATGATTCCAACAACCAGAAAATTTACTTGCATTTGAAAAACATGATGTAAAAATCTATCTTGGTCTTAAATTCCTAAAATTATTGCAAAACAATTATGTTTGGTTTGGTTACAAGTTTTTTTCCACCAATTTTCCTTTCTGGTCCAGCTATCGATGTGTGTAAAACGCATTCTTCTCTTCCCAGTTGGTTTTCGGTTAGACTGATGGAAAAGTGTTGGATATAACATAGCTATACAGTACATAATACAGTTATATATAGCTATTCTGTGGGTATCTGTAGCTATTTCCTGAGTTATAAGGAGAGACACGTGCAATGCTTTGTTCTCTTGTTTCCTAATTTAAAGAGAGAAGAGGAGAAATATTCTTTTTACATAAGATTGTTCTCATGAGATTTGTAAACACTGTCAGGAAACTTGTCAAAATGTAACAATTCTTTACTAGAACTGAGAACATTTGAAAAGCTGCATTTTTCTTTTTTTGATCATCCTGTTAAGAACTACTAAACTGCTCTGTATTCCTCCTGCCTCTGATTGACGAAATAAGCTCCCTCTTCCTTGGCGACCCTGAAAAGAACTGCATCGGATAGAGAATAAATTAATAGGAGCAAATGCTGATTCCAGGATCCTTGACAATATGGACAACCAGCACTGCAGGTTTATTGAATACAGAAGATTGCTTGTTACTTTGCTAAACACCCTTTTAAACTTTTCTTACTCTTCTTTCTTATTAAGTCTGAGCTGCATCAACCAAAACAAAGCTGTAAAAAAAACTGACTCACTGCCACTTGATTAAACGATGTCTCAGGGGGCAGCAAATTAAGTCTGAGATGGATTAAAACATCATGTTTACATTCTGCTATCTCTCATATGTGAGCCTAACCAGCAGTCAGTCAATCAATTCTGGCCTCATATTATTGTCAAATTAATATTTATAAGGGTGCAGTCCTAATTAATGTTACATTTGACAAGAGGATAAATACCTTAGCACTCTTGCATACAGTATTTGGCAACTTGCAAACATCTTTGGCTCTGCATAGAAGTGGATTTTAGCAGCCTACCACAGAGCAGAGGAAGGAAGACTAATTAAAGCCCCTCAGGGAGACCCAAGGATGGGAGCTCTTTGTCTGTAAGGAGTCAGGGAACGTACAGTTCCCCCCAGATCCGATTAGGGTGCATTACCACATGGCAACTTCTGCATTATTAAAACATGTTATTGAATTATTGGACCATTGCAGAATCTCCTACACTAAAGGAATATAAAACGCTTTTATAACCATTTTCACCCAAATGGAGGAGGAGAAAGTTACAGAGAGAGTTCATTGATGGCGCAATGATCACACCATCTTCTAAAGAATAGATTAGTATAACCTTAAAGAAATAAAACCATCTATGCTAAGAAATAAGCAGATGGACAAGGTCATAGCCTATTTGAATATTACAGTATAATAATTTTTGGCCTTATGCTTGCAAAGAAGTTGTCATGAAGGTATAATTTGATCTGACAGATTGCTTACAACGGCTGATTTTTACACTATGAAATGGCAAGCAAGGTCAGATTTTGATTTACAACAGTAGACATGAACCATGAAACTTAAGTAAGCTGGAGGCAGAAAAAAAAACATTAAAAAAGAGAATTAATCGGTTTTATGTTAATTCTAAGTTGAACGCTGTAAAGTTATCTGTAGTCAGCATCTTACCTGGAGCAGAAAACTCTGGGTTGGTACTCTGACAGACTTCAACTAATGGCTGATTAAAGCGTCCCCTGTATGTCATTTTTAAGCTGTTTAAAAGTCTAATTTATCATTTTAAATTGTAAAATCAGTTTAAAGTACTTAAATCGCCTATATTATGCAAAATTCATTTGCAAATGAATCCATAAGGACTCTTAAGCTGGAGCAAAAGAGCGTCTACACCCGCCCTGATGAGGGCTGTCCGAATACTGCTGCCGGAAAAAGGAAGCTGGATGTTTTCTATTGATTGTTCATTTAGCACAGAAACTTTCATAAGAACGACTGAAAAACATCAGGAAAAAAATAATGCAACACTTAATACACAAGCAAGAAAAGAGCTTATGAATAGTAACCATAAAAAAAAAATCAATTACATTTTATTTCGGTTTGGAAACAGGTGTGCAAGAGAAATACTTCTAAAAAGACAAATATAAATATCCTGTTTTTTTTTTTTTTTATTATTTAATAAGGTTTAATCAATTCCAAATTCGAGCTCTTTCAAACATCCAATTTGTTATTCTAAAAGTCCCTTCTGTGTTTAAGGAATACAAAACTAGAATATCCCCTGAATTTGAGCCTTTTGAATAAAAAAAACAAATGCTCCAGCCACAAAGAAAATATTAAATGTTTTGTCGGCCAGATGCAATGATTGGAGCATAATTAACGAATGGATCCATGTAGAATATGGAAAACAAAAGCCATTTTTAAAGACTCATTCTGACTTATAATAAAATATTTTAATATCTACACCTATTCAAACCCACTAAAACTTCAAAGCTTTCTACAGCTTGGATCCGCGCGATATTTGCTGACCATCGTGTGAGGTGGTTGGAGAAGGACAATGAAATACAACATTTTGAACTGATGACAGACAGCCGTAAATGATGCAAGGTGAAAAGGCTAATTAGGTTCCATCATTCATTCTGAATGATTCATTTTCTCGGGTGCAGCTCAGCAGGCGCTCTGTAAACATGTAATAATGATAGACCCCACACCCTGCATGATCAATTCTCTTGATAAATACTAATGATTCTGGCTGGATGGCATCTGCAAAGGTGCCAGTAATCAGATGGATATTCTGTAAACCAGGCGCCTGGCTAATTCATTAGCAGAGCTTGTTTTGTTTCATAGTTATTTACAATATAAACCTATCTCACAGCTAAATGAACAGGCAGAAAAACAGGTATTTAATATAAAACTTTTATTTAGAATAAAACAATGTAGCCATATTACATGTAGTGTGTTCAATCTATTTTACATACCTCAGGAGAAGCGACACAGTTCTGCCGTGATAAAGTTCATCATGATTAGAATCGTTAAAACAATCACTAACATTAGTTGACGGCTGGAGGAGGTTATAGTAGTGTTGGTCAGTTTCACAGGTTTTACAGAACAGCATAGATCACAACAACATGACGCAGCAAGGAAAACCCAACAACTGATGCTCATCATGGGAACTAAGCTTCTGCAGGTCAAACACCCACAGTGATTACTTTGTTTTTAAAACTTGGTTACTCCTCATTGCAGTGTACACCAATACAGTAAGCAAAAGCTTAGAATACTAAACCAGGTTGTTCATGACTGAAACAGATCACGACTGCTTTAAACGACCACAAAGAAAAACAAAAAACTGTGTCTACGAGTCTGAGGTAGCAAGGCAATCATGGCTTTACTCTGATTTATTAACATTTATCTCCAAAAAAAAAAAAAAATCCACCCTACATAACGATGATGGGCCTTTTACAAATCAAGATTAAAAGTCTGCATTTATTTAATCTTTATGCACAATATCATTATAATTTAAGAGCAGCTGTCTCAGTTTTCCACATGTGGAATGACAAACTCTTATAGGCACAGAAAGGGTAAAGTTGAGACAAAGTCTGCCGGCATTTTAACACGTTTTAAAGGGGAACTTGACATCAAACATGCTTAAGGACAGATTTCAAAAGTGACTTTATAATTTCTAAACGATCCTGTAATCTGTCAAGTGTCTTCTTTTATTACACCCACTCCCTTAAAAGCTACTTTAACGGACAAAGACAAAGGAGCTAGATGTTACACAGCAGTGGAATGACACGAAAATGTAACAGTTTTATTCGCAGTAAAGGCAAAAAACTGATCACAAATCCCAAAGCAATCATTTGCAAGAAACCATATTTTACTATACAGTACATCTGGAAATCTAAAGAGGAAAAAAATAAACTGACACAAGTTCAATCAAGTTCAGGTACAATCTACAGTTGCATAGTACAAGACAAGATGGTAAAACTAGTTCAGTTGTCTGCCTCTGTGCGTCTTTGGGATTCAGGGGTAGGGAATTGTTTTTGTTTGGGAATGGTCTCATGTGTGCACACACACAAACTCCATCTTATGGTACTGGTCCTCACATGACCTTAAAAAATACAAAGAGAAAGAATCAATACAGTTAAAATATTAACTAATGCCAACAGAGAATCAAAACAGATTAAAACATAAACATAAAAAAAGTGCATCTGAAGGCAAGTTATTTTAGGCTAATAGTTGCCACATATTTCTCTGGATCAGGACATCTTGAAGTGAGAGGAAAAAAAGAAAATCACAAGTTTGAAGACAGTAATCCAACTTTGAAGGCTGGAAAATGGACTTGAGTGGCTAAAGACAGGTACGGTCCATTAGGAACAATACAGCTGTAGTGGTGAGTGTGGAGGGAAACATAACTACTAGCTTGGAAATTGGACTTTAACCTTTAAATGACTGTTGTGTTCATGTCAATAGAGCGTACCATAAATTGCTCAAATATAAAAAAAAAGAGTCAGGATAACAGTAGTGTGGAAATGAAAAGGAATTAACGCATTTATCTCTAGAAAGTTTTGTTAAAAAAATCTGACAGATGAAACTGAAGTGAGGTTGCTGCTAAGTTCCAAATGTAAACGCAAAGCAAACTGAACAGCTTTTAAGTTATTTTTCCACTCATGGCTTACTATAGAATCCAAGTCTTTGTCACCATGGCATCACTAACCTGGGCTTGAAGCACTACCTATAGCAGTGGTGCTGTTGTTTTGCAGAAGTTCATGTAGTGTATCTAGTAGTTATAATATCTGTTATGTGTGGAGTAAAAATGGAACAGTAGGAATTTGAAAATATCCAGGCAGATTGCAAAACAGATGAAATGTTTAAATAAATCTGAGTTTCACAATCCTTGCTTTTAAATGTGTCATTTCCATGATTTTAGTATCTTACTATAATATATTCAGGTTGTGGATATAGAGCAAATGAGTTGATTTATGGTGCAACACGTACTGTAGGTCTGCATCCACTACCTGCACATAGAGTCATGTATAATAAAAAGACTTCCCTGTTTTTTTAATATGTTTGGAATTAATGAATATTTAATCAGCTCAGAAGTAGAAAAAAAGAATTAGAATGTTTTAGCAATAAAAAGATATTCATCAGATGACATCACTGTTTCTTAGAAAAGAGGAAAACCAGACAGTGCTGGTTTGTGACGATTTATTTTTATCCCTACAGATTTTAAAAATAGTGAGTGCAGGGGGTTCGTGAGTCATGGTGCAATGGGTTCTCAGTTTTAATGCAAATGTATGTAACTCAGCACTTCAAGCATAAAAATGAACAAATCGGGAAAAAATAAAGAAATATTGGTGGAATTGAAGTGAAAGAAGAAATTAGATAAGCTATTTGGTTGATTTAGTAATGCTTATGAAATGAGGGTGTAGCTGTGAAATGAGAGAAAAGATCCAAGTCTGGATATGAAAAACACATTAAAAACAAATGTTTTATGAAAGGTTTTATGTTCAGTTGTAGCTGCTGGGTTTCCTTTGTGTTATCAACCAAGAAAGTAATACCAAATGGAAGTCCTTATAGAGAATAAACTGCGGTGTTTGCTTCATTTCTGCTTTTCTTGCAGTATAAATTAGAACTTGTTTAGAACATAGATAAACACTAAAAGAATAACCTGTGCTTATTGACTACAAAGGATTCCTACCAATTTTTTTTTATATTTTTTATATTTTCTAGAATTAATTTCTAGAAATCAAATTCTCCTTTTATCTAAGTTGTGATCGATATATATCGAAGTTCATTAGGAATTTTTTAAAGATATTTTGAATGCGTTTAGACTAGGAATTAATCGGATTAATCGTGATCATTAACTGGAGTATAGAGACTGTAAAACATGCCTTTAGCGATCCACTTAGAGCAGTAATTATTCCAAGATTGTAAAAAAATATATTAAAATTTTGCATTCAAGATAATATGCTCAATCCAGAACTCCTCAAATGGAAAAGTTTTAGTTTCACCTGGTTTAACTTCAGGTAATCTTCTTTGGGGATCCTTTGGCTATCTGATTATTAATCGATTTATCGGCAAAATAATCATTAGTTGCAGCCCTAGTTTAGCCTCCTATCATAGAACCCTCGAAAACCACAGACCTAAGGGTAGATGGATGGGGTCATTAAATAAATAAGAATAAATTAAAGGATAAATAAATGGATATGTAAACAAGTTGACAAAAAATTTGTGGAGTAAAAAAACTCGGAACTAAACGCTATTCCTGACATTTTGTATTGAAAAAGCTTCCTGGATGGGAAGGGAAACATCTTCAAACTTGGAAACCAAGTCCAGTGGATTGTTTTAATAATTTGGAATAAAAAAACATTGAAAAATGGATGGACTGGTAAAGACAATCCAACTATAAATAAACTACATTTTCCATACTTCTCCAAACTGTTTATTAAACCTGATAGCAAAGCCTGTAGGATAACACGAAAGGTTTGCACAAAACCTAACTGCATGACTACACCACAAGAAAGGACCCTTGAGAAAACTGAAAGTGAAAATGGTGACAGTTTTCCCAAACCTTAAATTAACACCATGTAAAAATCTTAACTACTAAATATTCTTTTGTCAGAAAGTTTGGATACAGCAGCGCTGAAGATATGGATGAATAATTGCAGTGGAACGAGGTCAGTGGTGAAAGCTTTTACAATACTTCCATCCCAAAACGCACCTCGACCTCAAAACGGTAGAGAATGAGAGGAGCCGACTAATGGAAGTCCCCAGAGATCCATTAGTCGGCTCTTTCCCAGAAATCTTCTGATACATGCATGAAGTTGAGGGATTGAAGAAGGGTCCTGCTTTTGTGGCAGTACCTGTAATTACCTCTAACATGCACTCTGCTCCAATTTTACCCATCTTTATTAATTACTCATAAACAAACTACGCAACAGAAAAGAAAAAGAGAGAAAGCTGCTAATATGCAGACTAATTTCCAGCTCTAGTGTTTATATTGAGGAAAATCGTCTTACCTGTGGTCTTGAGGAAAGGCTTGAGGCTGTGGGAGAGAAAACAAAACAGCAGTTTAATGCTTTAAATTAACAGTTCATCTGTTTGCATTTATATAATGCTAAATCATCAGCCTGCGGGTGCCTTCTCATTTTGATACACACACCCAGCTCTGCACCGCTCATTCCTCTGGGCTCTGCAGGAACTGAAGCCATATAGTGCTGGAGCCAAAGCAAGATTGGAATGGATTTTTAACTAAAGCCCTCATCTTGGTTTTAACCCTGAAAGTAAATGCAATTTAAAGGCAGCAAGCTTCAATTTTACATTTGAGCACTTTAAGACTTGATTAACACTCCTAAAAGTGGAGATTCTTTTTAATTTGGGAAAAGCATATCAAAAAGGACGTATAAGCAATTGTAGATCGCCTTAATTCTTATCCTGAATTTAGTTTAAAATCCAAGAAGTTAGCTTTTCAAAAAGCTAGTTTAAATAGCAGCCTTCAGCTATTAACTCATCTTTGGTAATAATTCCTACATTTTCTGTAGGGTTAGGCAGCAATACTGACTTTGGACTGGATAAAACAAATACTCCCAATGTCTGAGGATGATGTGGCCCCTTTAGGCCAAGTTCGAATCCTCTGATGCTTCTGGTTTAGAAGCAGTTTAACATAAAGAATGGGACCGCTGTAGATCATCCTGGATATATCTGTGTGGTGGCTTTTTAAGCACTACACAACTATATGTCAGATCTTGTAAATCTCCCAAAAACTCTTGAACTGGCCTTATTTCACCATGTTTCCAAAGCTGTGATTATCTGTTCTTCTTTTGCACATTCCTCTAATGCCTGATTTCCTTCCTCAACTTTTTTTTCCCTTAATGCACCCAATACAGCACCCTGTGTGTGTTTCTTTTGCGACTATGTCACAAATGTAAAGTCAGTCGTCTTTCCCCCGACAGTCTAAGCTATAAACTAATATTTAAATGTTACGAATACTGATTTAAATTGGTCTTAAACGCTAATTTAAGCATTAGGTGAAGGTCATCATAAAATTTGACAGAATAATATTAGTTTTGGATTAGAAACTGAACCCATCTCAGAGAAGCATAATCGTGTGCTTAGTAGCCATCATTTAAACTTCAAATCTGACAACATGCACACAGCGAGTGAGAAAGGACAAACACTAATGGATCATTATATTCATGGAGAGGAATACATACACAAAGCTGATAAATCAGGAAAAATGTGTGAGAAAATCCTCACCGATCATCTCTTCTCTCTTTATAGCAGTGGTTCCTTTATTTCTAAGGACATCCTTAACTTTAAAATCAATATTAGAGTGTAGAAGTACTACAACAGTACTATAAATAAAAAAAAAAGAAAAGTATTTCCGCTCTCAATCCTATTTTTATTCATTAATGTTTCTGAGGTAGGTTCAGATAGTCTCTTTTGTCATGAGAAAACATCACTTAATGTTGATCTACATGGTGGACTTTCTATAAGTTCAGCAACTGAGCTTCTAACAATGTATAAAATAATCTGCAGCCAAATACTTTTTTTTTTTGGTTCTTACCACATTGGGAACAAGAACAATTTTCTCGGTTCTTGCGGTGTATGCAACAAAGCTGAATACACCCCCCCTCAGGCAAACGCTGAACCAAAAAGCAGAATAGTCTTTATTCAAGCAATTCCAAATCCAAAAGACATAGAGGGTAAAGTTCAACTCTACATCAGCAGTTGTACTTAAATTCTGAAGGACTTCCTTTCATGATTGTAAAACCAGAAGAGCTCCTCCATCCAAGCAGTTACACTTAAACGCTGCAATAGGCTTTTTTGTCATCCACTTCTATTAACCGTGCTGGGTCCTAAAAAAGCAGCTCAAGACTGCAAGCTTTTAGTTAGTTTTTCAATATTATGATTTTATTTTACAAAATTCGCCCTAGTATTTCAAAGTTTTTGCTAATCTACTTGTCAAGTAAGCATTAGAAATTCTACCCACTTCTAAAAGCTTTACTAAATCAGGGCAAATTAAGAACATTGAGCAGGGATCCTTTTCCCAAAAGGGTTGCTGTTCCTCTGGGGAACTGTTAGTCCGACCACACCAAAAGAAAGAGAACAAAAACACTTGAGTTAAGCAGTAAACAGGCCTAGTTTTGGAACTAACAATGAAAAATATATTTAAAATATTAGGAAAACAGACCTAGGCTCTGTCTGAATGTCTGCCCTAACCACTATATACGCTCTATATAGTGATTGAGGGATCTACAGGTTGGGGCGGACGTTCGGATACAGCCTAAGACTATAGACTGTGCAGCTGTTCATTGATGATATGTGACTAAATGTTACTGTTAGGTGAACCGGCATTTGTTTAAAAAAAAAAAAAAAAAAAAACGCCAAGGCAAGGCTGTGGTTTATCCACATTGATTAAAAAGTGAGCTTACTAAATTTGCATATTAAGCTAAATACATTTCAATAAGCTGCATTTTTCACATTTTTTAAATATTTTAGAAGAGCTTTCCTAATCTTCTATTTTTCTTTCTAAAAATACCAAGGTTGTTCAGATATTCCACACAAAAAACAACATACAAATAATTTGAATATATAAAAGAAAGACAGGCAGGTAAGGACAGGCCGACTCTCTTTAAGACAGCGGCGTGGAAAAATAAAAAAAACTAAACTAAATCAGCCGTTCGACTAAAGAGAGGCACGGCCTATGGCTCTTGTGGTGAAACACTGGCATGCTGATGTTTCAGGGGAGGCGGAGGAGGACTGGGAAACTTACGACTGCATGCAGGGAAGGAGTTGTTAATCTGCTCCATTACATCTGCCAGGTCAGAGCTGCTGTTGTGGGAGGGAAGCAGCTCCTCTGGACACACAGAGGCACAGAGAGGTGGGTATACAGTTACTGGGGACACTTTTTTTATCCTACCACAACAATAAACTTCCTAGATTTTCTACGAGCGATGCACGGATTTTTGAGGATGAAGGAATGTGGATTATTCTCCTTAAAGGATAGACACCTACATGTGTGTTTATAAGTGTGTGATTGCAGCTCATCACCAAGTTACAGGGTCTTACCTGAGTTTTCTGTAAGTGGTCCTCTTTCTTGCACAGTGGGAGAGGATGCTCCATTTACCCTCGAGTCCACCTCCGGCTGATGGAGAAGGGAAAATAAAAAAAATGAAAAAGATATGAGATTTTGTTTCTAAGCTAAGAGGGTTTTGTCTGTTTTCGAGTCTGATTTGATTCAAATCATAAACACATCACTCATGTCGGGTATTTTCCCTCCGGTCTTTAATACAGCAAGTATCAAACTATTGTTGAAAAAGAGAAACTTGTACAAATAGGTCCTTCAGGACTACAGGCCCATCTCAAACCTCCCATTCATCAGTAAACTTACAGAAAAAGTTGAGTTTCAACAGGTTAACAATGACCAGCTGCTTTGCTGTCTTCCAGTGAGGTTTCCATGCCAACCACAGTACAGAGACTTCCTTGATTAAGTTGTTCATTGACATTAAGTGACCTCAGCATATGGAAAACTGGGTTGGCCTTGTTGGTACTGCACTGGACTGGTTTAAATCCGGTCTAAAGGACTGGGACATTCGTGTGTCTATAGCGAACTTTAAATAAGAGACCAGAAAAATTGCATGTGGGGTTCCTAAAGGCTCCATTCTGGGGCCCCTCCTGTTCAACATCTACATGCTTCCCTTGACTCAGATTATAGCAAACAACCAGTTTAGTTACCATAACTATGCAGACAATACACAGCTTTATATCACACTATCAGCAGGTGACTATGAACCCATCAGAGCATTGTTTAGATGTTTAGAACAGATAAATAAGTGGATGCGGCATCATTTTCTACAACTTAATAAAAACACAACTGATGTAAAAATCTTCAGACCAAAAGAGGAGAGATCCAGAGTTAGCTCACAGCTCCAGCTTCTACAGCTAAAAACCACGGATTGTGGACTAAATCTTGGTGTCATGATGGACTCAGACCTGAAGCTTCAGAGGCACATGAAGGTTACTAAGGTTACTAAGTTACTAAGTCTGCCTTTTATCTCCTGAAGAATATTTCCAAGATTAAAGCACCAATGTCCAAGCAGAATCTAGAAAAACTCATTCATCTTTAGTAGAATTGATTACTGAAACAGTCTTCATAGGTTTGCCAAAAAGTTCATCAGAAAGCTGCCGCTGATCCAAAACACTGCTGCCTGTGTTCTCACTAGAAAAAAGAAAGTAGAACACATCAGCCAGGTTCTAAAGTCCTGCCACTGGTTCCCTATAGCTCACAGAATAGACTTTAAAATCCTTCTGTTAGACTATAAATAACTGAATGGATCAGCACATCAAAACATAACAGATTTATTGTCAGTGCATCAACCTTCCAGACCACTCAGGTCTCTAGTTCAAGCCTACTCCTGTTCATCCAAACTAGAACCAAACATAGAGAATCAGCATTTAGTTCCTATGCTCCACTGATCTGGAACAAACTCCCAGGAGCCTGTAAAAGTGCTGAAAGCCTCAGTTCTTTTAAGTCAAAGTTAAAAATCCATTAGTTTAGAGCTGCTTTTGACTCTTAAAGTTAAACTGATCACATAGGTATTAGTTGAAGGCTGTGGTCCAACTGTTTTAGTTGTTTTACTACCTGCTTTTATCGTTATTTGCTTTTATTTTGCTTTTGTGTTTCCATACTTCTACGTTATTGTCTTATTCATGTAAACCACTTTGAAATCTCCATCTACTAAATGTTGCTATACCAATAAACTTGTATTTATTTCCCCACTGGCACCTAAAAACAAAAGGCTTGCATGACGAGAACACAATGAGCTTAAAACATTTCATGAAGTTCCCTCCTAAAGTTTCACACCGAGAATAAAATATTTTGCGTGACTCATTCAAAGACCTCTAAGGACTCTTTTCTGGAGGCGACAGACAAATTCCTGGAATCCAATATAAATGATTGAAATGAATATTATGAAATTCAGCCAAAAGATACAGCAAACGTTATTGCATCCACACTGAAAGAAACAACATGAAAGTTTAATGAGTCTGCCTTAATGCTGTTACATTTAGCTCCAAGCACATGCAGTAAATCAGATGGTAAACATAGATTACCTTTGGCAATCGGAAAGTCTGCGATGACATTTAGTGGAGTTTTTAATAAGGTAATTAAAGTAGGAGACGTTGGTGATCCCTCACCTAAACATACTTCATGCTGTCCACTGTCCTAAGCTTCAAATATGTGTTAACATCACACAATAACCTTAAATAGCTGTCTAAATATATCTATTATAAGTTATTAATTATTAAAAGATAAATAAATATAATTTTGAAGGTTATTTTAGTTCAATGAAAGTCACATTTTCCATCTATGAACATTTGCATCAAACGTTTTTACAATCTTAAAATTTTCAGGAGGAAACTAGAGAAAACTGTTTATCTCTGGCAACCACCATCTTCTTTAGTTGCTGTTGTCCAAACCGTGAGTAAAGCATCAAATATCATCTAAGAATAGCTGTGTTAGAGCTTTAGTCAACCTTAAAGGGTGTAAATGTAACACCAATCAAGCAGAGGGGCTTTTTTAAAGATGTGTCCTTAAGCATAGCCTTACATGTCTGCAGCATACAGTATGGACAACAAACACCTTGTTAGATTTCCAGGGACTCAAATGTCAAACAGCACCACCTTATACGTAGCAACAGGATGTAAAGTACAAACACTTACTTCTGAGTGCTGCATGATGTTTGCATTTATCTTTAGGAGACAGCAATTCACTTCAGAAACCATTGAAAATAAAATAAAAAAAAAGGCTTCACTAAATTCTTGCAGAGATGCCAGACTTGTCTACCGTTTGATCTACTCTGGTTGAAGTCCTATTGTTTTTTTTCTTGCTTGTACTTCAGTTTATTTACAAAAGATTTGTGGCACTGATGTAAAAGATAAAAGCTGCATATAGAGGATAAAGCATGAGTAAAACATCTGAGGAGAAGTGTGACTGTGTGCATTTACCACGACGATCTGACAGTTACTTTTAAGTCAATAATTTTTGTTGGCTCAGAGTAAAAATCTAAAATTATGTTCATTTTTTAACTTGAGAATATACTTCTCTTAAAACTGTAATTAAGGTCAACCAATCAGTCGGGTTAAAACTGGAATTTGTTGTTTTTCTATTGAGCTGCTGAACTAAATAAATTCACTTATGACAGTACTATTCCTCTTACTAAATTTAAAGTAGTTACTGAAGTTTAGGTTTGGGTTATTCCAATTTAGTTTGCTCTTTAGGGTTTAGTTTTGACTAATATAATGAAAACTTTATTTTTAATTCTTATATTTTTAAATTGATTCTCTGAAATTTAAGTAACATTTATTTATTTTTATATACGTATATATTTTTCTTTAATGGAAAACCATTTTATTGTTTATCTTCATAAGACCTCTAAACAAAGTTCGAAAGCTTAATTTTACTGCATCATGTCCTAGATAGGATTGAACTACGCTGAAATCAATGCTGTGGTATTGGTTTGTGGTTGACTGATTTGATTTCAGTTTCATTGAATTCTTTATTACACATAATCAAACAAAGGTGCCCTGATATAGTATTGGCATTACATATTCATCAGCTGCTAAATTAGGCACTCCCTACTTTTATTGGGTTGGATGCACTCGGATTTTTAAACGTTGATCGAAAGCATTATTTTTATTTAGAGATTGTGGTACATATTGAAACAATAGCGTTACAGTTGCTGCAGAAATGTCAAAGCCCTAGGGTGATGTATTGATTTGAAATCTGGTGACTATTAAAACCTTTTGAACACAATCATCATCAAGAAACCAGTTTATATGTAAATCTTTGTTACATGTTGCTTTTACGTGCTAAAAGTCGCTCAGAAGATAAGCAAACTGTTATGGTTAGCATCACTACTCATGTGGCCTTTAAACTATACTTCATTTGTACATAGGGAATAAGTAAATATTTTTCCTAACTGTTATTAGACAAATTAATTTTTCATACATAAAATACTGATTCTACCATTAAAATATCCCTTTATGAAGCTGGACCAGGCTTCACATTTCAGTTGTCATTGTTCAGTAGTGAGCTGATATCAGTACATGGAAAAACAATGGTGTGTCAAAACAGGTAGAATGTTGATATAAACATTCTTTGTTGGTACTATAAGTGGGCAAATGAGTTGCATGAAAATATAGCCTACATAGGAGGTCTATAACAGGGGGTCCGCGAACCCTAGGGGGTCGTCGGAGGTACTGCATGGGGGTCGCAAAAATTTTGGTTGATTACTTTTTTTATATTCCCCCCTGCAATTTTTATTTATTTATTTTTTTTAACAGTAATTGAAATGTCTTGAATTACACATTAACATGAATTCAACACACTGTAGTGTGTTCAGTCATCAATGCACACATTCAGCGACACACAGGAGCTCTTTCAAGCTGGGCACCGTTTTATTCACAACACCCGTCCCATCGACGAGGAATCCGAATCAGAAATACTTTAATAATCCCAGGGCAGAATTACTTTTGTTACATTACTCCATATGTAATAAAGGGACTATGGTACCAGTTTGATGTAACACAATTTCATATAATATATATAATTAGCGGGTCCCCGCTCCATCTAGCCATCAGTATGGGGAAACGTTCAAGACCCCTGCCCTACATCATCAAGTCAGCATCTTAAGGAGTTGTTCACACAGAACGGATTGAGTTAATGTTAATAACAGATTCTTACTCTAACCTTTGCATGTTGCAGCTTAAACCCAGATTAATTAGACCAGGCAAAATAGCCTGAATGTTTAAGCTGCTGTTAAACCAACCTGCTTATTTAAACTCATTTTTATTTTCTAATGCTCATCTGTAGAATTGAAATATATTGATTTCACAGGCAGAGGGGAACAAACAGGTTTGAATTCACTCCATGAAGGATATGACACGTGTGGATGCAGCATCTGCGGTGTTAAAGTTTATCACCAGAAAGCAAAAATAAAACAAACACGGGTTTGAGGCAATATCTAAATCAGCACCGCAAAGTTGATTGTATTTATAGTCTTATGTTGCACTACACAAATTAAAGATGCTTATTTTCATTCTATAATTCTATTTTCTGTTTCTTTGTCTTGAATATTTTTGGTTTTTATCAAAATTTGAGTTGGACTTAAAGGAGAAGTTCGGTTTTTTACACTTTAAGCCCATTTTCTGTAGTGTCCAGGATGAAATCGAATGAAGGACACCAAAATTTTGACAATTGCTCCTGTCTCTGCTTTTTGGCTCATTTAGAATCACCCCCTGGCTGCTTTAGAATGGCTAGCATAGAGCATGTCCGATAATGTCCTTAAAACAACCTTAAACGTTCTTTTTTTAAATATGCTACTCACCGTGTCGTCAGCGCTGTTCAATGACGTTCCAAAAAAAGTTTCGTAAAGAAAAAACGTTCCTGTAGTGTTTTATTTAGCATTTTGTAAATCCCATTGAGTTCTGTAGGAATAGTCAATATTCCGCTGCCACCGGAAACGGAAATGGGGCCTGTTTACACAGTTGTAGTCTTTTCGCTTCACTCTGTGTACTCCGACGTCGAGGTGCTAACGTCTCTGTTAAACACTTTAAAAAACTCTGAAAATGGAATACGAAAGGTGGATTCTTGATTCTCGACGTCGGAGTACACAGAGTGAAGCGAAAAGACTACAACTGTGTAAACAGGCCCCATTTCCGTTTCCGGTGGCAGCGGAATATTGACTATTCCTACAGAACTCAATGGGATTTACAAAATGCTAAATAAAACACTACAGGAACGTTTTTTCTTCACGAAACTTTTTTTGGAACGTCATTGAACAGCGCTGACGACACGGTGAGTAGCATATTTTAAAAAAAGAACGTTTAAGGTTGTTTTAAGGACATTATCGGACATGCTCTATGCTAGCCATTCTAAAGCAGCCAGGGGGTGATTCTAAATGAGCCAAAAAGCAGAGACAGGAGCAATTGTCAAAATTTTGGTGTCCTTCATTCGATTTCATCCTGGACACTACAGAAAATGGGCTTAAAGTGTAAAAAACCGAACTTCTCCTTTAAGTTGGACAGTGCATATCCCTTGAAGATTCATTTGTAGTTTTTTTTTTTTTATATATATTCTGGCCGATATATCAGATATTGGCCAATATGTGATATCTGCCTTCAAAATCCCATGTCGGTCGGGCTCTTGTTTTAAATAACTGTATAAAAACTGTGTCAGCGTTTTACTCCTTTATTTTTGTTTTTTGACTTCCTCTATAATAATAATAATGAGCTGCTCTGTGTCGCTCCTACCAGCTGCTGGTTGTGTAATTCTGGACCATTATTACTGCTCTGCAGCTGCTCCTCAACAACAAGCTTAATAAAAAATACAACTAAGAGGGAAAAATAAACTTTTAATCATAGTAATGTAGGAGTCAATTCATATGAGGCTGCAATGGAATAAAAATCATAAATTTCTTAACAGAAATAAAACTGTATTTAAATTTTGAAAGTATAACCATAAGCAGAACAAACTGTATTCTTAAACTAACAATATGACTATGGAACAGTCTGCTCCGTCAGGCATCTTGTTGAATCCTTATTCAAATTTTTTTTTTGTCTGCTAAATAACTACTGGTTTTTTATACTAATGGTTGCCTTACATCTATATTTTGAAAAAGGGTTATGAGAAAAGCACAGAAAAAGGACAAGTAGTGCTCTACACTGCACAATTAAGGACCATTTGGGATTATTCTGAGGACTACTACTTCATTTTCAAAAGAAAAGCACATGTGGGGCTTTTAAAAGTTTATTTTAACTATAAAAGTGCAGAATTATAACCATTCTGCTCAAATTGTGAGTGTGGACAGTAAGCAGCCTATGTTCTCTCGCATAACTAGACCTTTGGGCGACATATTCATATTTTAAAAGGAACACTTTGTATCTCACAGGATTCTGCACCACTTAATTTATGAGAGCAGCTCCAGCTATCATAAAAACCCTGTGATGCGAGAAAGTCTTCATCAAAGTAATAGCAGTTATATGACTTTATTGACCTAAACTGATATTTTTATTTTGCACTTTAAAGAAAAAGAAATTATTCTAAAAAAAATTACTTACAAGCCAAATACAAAAAATCTGACTTTTTTCTTTATGCTTGTAGTTGATCATGATTTGCTGGATTCTGCTTTTAAAAACTGACCTCAGTCTTAAATATCCTATGGAGGGGTGCACCATTATGCTGAAAATACTGCAATTATCAGCTAAATGTTCCTCGACTGATGGGAAACAGTTGTTCTGAAGGTTTTAGACCAAAGTAAGGAGTCTGAAACCTGACACTAAATTATGTGAAGATGCATCATGAGTTGCAGAACTGTAGCTTCCACTTTTACTGTCTGGAGAAAGGATTTTCCAGACAACTAATTTATCAGTCGATAAACTGCACTATTCTTCTGCAGTCCATTATTGTACTTTGCAAATTACGCTATTTCTTGGTTCCATTGCTGTTCTCCTCTAGACTCTCTACTATACATCATTAACTCACTGTTAATACAGACATACATCTACCTGTTGCCTCAATTTAGCACATTTTGTACGGGTGGCAACAAAAGAGCCATGAGATCTTCCGCTGCTCTGCCACTGAGTCTGCTTCTGCCAAAACCTTTGTTTGTTACTTTTGGAGACGTTCCATGCAGGTTTTGAAACAATAAATGCCATGTTTCCATATACTGCTTTCAGAATAGTTCAACATTTTTGTCAGAAATATTTTAAACTTGCTAAGCTAAACAAAATAATCTCTTATATTTGTGCATAAACAGATACCTTGATTCAAGCATATTGAGCAACACTTTTAGGACAGAATCTTAGAAGACAAAAAAAACCCAATGAAGTACATATTAAATGAAATTCAAAGAAAGGGGCCAAAAGGGTCAAGTTCAACTTGCTAAAAACCAACATTTGGCAGAGGTTTACCTCTTAAAAGCTTTCTATGCATAGAATAGTATGACTATAGAAATGGATTAAAAAAATGTCAATATTTTCTCCTAATAAATAACTTTTTCATTTGGTGATAAAGCTTTCAAAAGAGTTAAAGGACTTCTGTAACCTGATGCAGTAGCTGTCGCAGACGGTGGAGCTGCGACTCCAGCTGCCTGTTGTGATCCTCCAGGAGGTGCATGCGTGCCTCCAGCCGGCCTTTGTGTTGTCGAAGCAGCTTGGCTTCAGCTAGAAGATCGGCCTCGTCTGGATGAGAGGACTGACCCTCAGACTCCCAGGGGGCTCCAGCAGAGGCGCCTCTATCACCATGTTGTTCCTTCAGCTGCTCATACTCCCTCTGCAGTGTCCTGAGATAGTTGATAAGAAACAAAGTACAAGGACAAAAACACACATGAACACCTGGATACCTCGCATTGCCATCATCAAGACTTCTGTTATTCGTTTTATTTTTTCCTCAAATAAATATCACAAATTAAAAACTATGTTTTTACTCAAATTTCAGCAGCCTTTTTATGAACCTGCACAGTGAGGTGCAATGCAAACTTCTTTCATTTAAGTTCACCTCTGCTTTCTGCTCCCAGAGTTAATTCTGACTGATGTGAGTAAATAAACACAAAGGATCTCCTGCCTCCCCCTTCCTCTCCTTCCTCATCTGAGTGCAGAAACATAAGCTGCAGTGCTTTACTTAAGTTGGCATTTATGAGCCTGGCAGTAAAGCTCTCACAGCTCACCCCCTGAGCCGGTGCATGTGTGTAATCAGTGCTAAATCACTTCAGTCGAGCTCCTGGCTCTGCAAAAAGCATCTCAGCAACAATAGACTTTGCAGTCATTCTTCTTACTATGTCCATTTCATTTACAAATCAAGCATTGTGTGTAGGAGCCAATATAGTTAGAAGAAGTGTGTGCCTAGAGTCTCCTTTGGACTGTAAAGTTACAGAAGACAGATTACTCTAAGAAAGCGTGACAAAATAAAGCCTCTTTATTTTTATTATCATGTTTTGAAACATCCGGATTTATAAACTGACTTTCACACTTTTAAAAAGAAAGGTCTTTCTTACTGATCTGAAATTCAGGTAAAATAATCAAAGTTAGTTTGATTGGAGTCCTGATGAAAACCTTTATTTATGCGTTTAATGATTACCTCTGTTCCTCCTCCAGACGGGCGATGGTCTGCTCCAACTCGCCTCTCTCCTCCCTCTCAACAGCCTGCAGTATCTGGGCAGGACTCTGAGGCTGGCTGGACGGGGAGCCTTCGCCGCCCAGAGTCTGGCAGTACTGAATGATCAATGCATGTTCATCATCCCTGTAAAAAGGGTAGAGTTTTAGATGAGTGAAGGCGCTAAAATATCATCATGTCAGTCTCTATTATTTTAACATGAGGAGCAGAAAGTTTTAATCTTCCCTTTGAAATTCATAACAGAAACACATTTTGTGATCTATGATAGGAATTAAGGCAGCAATTTAAAACAAATTACTGATTAATGAAATGACCTTTTGAAGGATAATTATAGGGTAGTAAGAGAAAACTCAAAAAATCTAAAGATGCAATTAAAATTTGACTTTTTCCCCCCACCACTATTGTACTTTAAACACAGGCATATAATGCAGGAAATAGAACCTTAAATGGAAAGAGCTGTTAGGTAACAGCACTAGGCGGGGTTAAAATTTTATGTCCAAAAAGTGTTGGACACCTGATCATGTTAAATATTTTTTTCTAGTCCCCTTCTTCCAATTGGAAAAAAATGATCACACAGCATGGTCACTGTTATGCTGATGACACTCAGCTATATTTGTCCATGAAACCTGATGAAACTAACCCATGCACAGACCACAGGCATGTCGTAAGACATGAAAAGCTGGATGACCTGCAGCGTTCTGCTTTTGAATGAAGACAAAACAGAACTCATTGGATTTGGGTTTCATTTACAGTCAGTCACTTCTGGAAGAGATCAAATTGTCCTCTGCTGATGTAAAAATCCTTGGTGTTATTTTTGACCAGGACTTCTCTTTCAAAACCTGTATTTCACAGGTTTATAGAACTTCATTATTTCATCCAACGGCAAAAAATAAGAACATGCTGTGTAGGAGTGATACTGAAAAACTTGTCCATCCATTTGAAACTTCAAAGCTGGACTAATGGGCGATTAGTATTACTGTCAATAGCTGCGCTTAAAGCAGTTAAAAGTCTTCAGCTGCAGACAGAAATCTGACCAAAATTATAGAGATAGATCTCTCCTACTGGAGCTTCCCTTTAGTGTCTCTAATTTAAAACTAAAATATAATTAACACTTCTCATCACTTATAAAGCCATAAATAATAAGTTTTTGTATCAGATCTAGCCTGGGTGCCATTCCGAACTTAGTCCCGCCCACAAGGTTTGAGGTCGGGAAGTTCGGTCTGGCTCTGCTCCATAGTAGCGCGAGTATAATCGCCCACCCTCTGGCGATCCATTCAAATTGTCAGGGCGGGCTTTATACGATGATAGACAGATGATCAACAGTAACGTAATCAACCATGTGACCAAAGCGCGCTTGGGCGACAACAACAATGGCTGCCGCCGGAGAGTTGAGGTGAGTAGATTCTGCTATTAGGTCTGTTCTAGAAGATATCGACAGCAAATTAATTTTAAAAGAGGAACAGAGAAACGCGATCAAGGCTCATCTTCTTATTCTAGGCGTGAAACTGCACGCTTTGATTTTTGTTGACAACAACTATGCCTGGCTTAACATACGTCACACACTCCGTTGCTCTTATTGGTTGTAGGTCTATCCAATTGAGTGCAGAGGCATTTTTTTTCCTGGTCCGTTCAAAACACGCCCCATAATCACAGCTCTATGGAGCAGTATCAGACTCATATTCTGACTAGAATTGAGTCGGACTACGTCAGGCTATATCAGATCTGTTATAAACAACACAAGCAAGTTATACTGAAAACTTAGTTGACAACTCTTTAAACCAAGCATGGACACACAAGTTTTGTTTTTGGTTTTTACAGATATTAGTTTTAGGGCTGTTTTCAATAATCAATCCAACATATTTCAAAATGAATTTCTGACTCCCAAATCTTCAGGTTAGAAACACAAATATATGTAGGAAAAGTGACCCTAAATATGGTCTGACTATACAGACATTTAGTCAATAAAACATGAACGTAATGTCATATTATTAAAAATTGATATTTTAGTACTCTGTATTATTCTTTTACTAGTATTTTTTTTCTTTTTATTTCTTTAAACGTTACAAAGCATTTGATCAGATAGAAGCAGCAGTTGTTTTCTTCACTGTTTAATTTGTCTATTGTTTTAGTGTACAGTAGTTGTTCCTGGTTATAACAGGGAAAACGAATAAAGGTACACATTGTACATACAATGTCTTGGGTATGTTATTGTCAAAAAAAAAAAAAAAATTTATCCCACATATTGTTTCTTTATCTTAATTTAAAAAAGAACATGAGAAAATAAATAAACCACTAGGCCAATAAACCCTCCTAAAGCTTTATTTTCCCCCAGCTGTCTTTTAACAGCTGGAAATAGCAGACTGATGTAGAAAATGAAGGAAATTATTCAAATGTAAACATATTCCTTTAATTACCTCGAACTTTTAGAGGCTCTAATATGTTTTAAATTTAACGGGAAATATTTGTCATTTAGGACAGGTTTTTCTGTCACCATCTTAGGTACCTTAAACATGTTTCAATATTTGAACAAATTCAACATGATATTCAGAATGTAGAAGCGGGAGTCATCGTTGGATCAGTTGCCTAGTAGCAGGGAGGTTTTTGGTTTAGTTCTTGCCTGGAGCCTTGAGTTGACTTCATGTTTTCCTTTTTTCTACAATAACCCTAATACAATATTTGCATGTTAGGTTAATTAGAGTTCTTTACTTGCCCTTAGGGGTGTGTGTGTGTGTGTGTGTGTGTGTGTGTGTGCGTGTGTGTGTGCGTGTGTGTGGTTTAGCAGTCTCAGTTCTCGTTTAATGAATCTGTTGATCCTCTGAAGAAACAGGCCAAGAGTGAACCCTACCTCTCTCCTATCAACAGGGTTTCTATATATTCTATTAAACAAATTCTAGTTGGAGGTTAGAAATATTGCAACCAAACTTTAACACAATAATAAGACAACAGTATCAACTGATCACCCTGCTAAAATAACTTGATTTAAAGTAAAGGATCTTCAGCTGCCGTATATCTGGTAAAATGAAAAGATCCACAATTCCAGGTGGGACACATGCCAGTCTTAGCTATCTGATTATCCCAGAAGCGAAGGAAGGAATGGGTGATTGAGAGCATGGCTGAGCCACAGCTTTGCAGACAGATTAAAAGATATGATGAAAGAGGAGAAATGGCTTCTGTCTTGTATCTGTAGGAGTATTTATCTGTCATCTCAATGATAATGAGAAGAGGTGGCAGGTCTTCCTGAAGCCCAGCAGTCATCTTTATTCTAGGACACGTCTAACACTTGACAACCACACTTCAGGAAAAAGGGAAGAAAGCTGACTTTTTAAATGATTTATTCACTGTTAAAGCAACTTATTTTGAGAGGCAGTTTGACAGCTTGAAATAAAGTTTGGAAGAGAGAGAGTTCAGTTTTGCCCTAGCTCCACAGAAAGCATTTTCTTAAGAATATTTCAGCTGTCATCATGCCATCTCAACGTAGAATGCAGTATATACTTGTTTCATATATGCATTCATGAAAAACATTAGGATTTACCATTAAAATATTCAGGTCTTACAAAGAAAATGTTCACATAGACGCCTGTGATCGGAGTACTAACACGAGAAAGCCCAGAGGATTTTATGGTGGTGAGCTGGCCAGGACTGACTACAGGAAGCCATTCCCTATCCTGGTATGAAACATGTTAAATGACAATAATGTCATCTGTCCTGCTTTTAAAATTATTTTATTTCAAGCTCATCTGCCCAAAACACAACATAGAAAACATTCTAGTTTTTGTACATGTTCTCTTTTGTAAACCTCTTTCAGGCATTCAGGGTGAGAGCAAAGGATACCTTGATGCAGCGCTCAGGCAGGAGAATTATTTAGAGATTCTAACTTTATTTAAAGGAGTATTAAAATTAGGGACACCCTTGAGATAATTTATTACTGCACAGTTAAACAGCGGTATATTAGTCAGGTCAATAACTATCCACTATTGACTTCTGCTCTATATATGTTAAATAGTTTATACTTTTATACTTTACTGTATGTGGCTTGCTTTTGTGTTTTTGAATAATGCTTGTCTGTGATCAAGCTGGATAAGATCCATTTTGGTCCTGTGTTTTAAAACTGCTGATACTTTATTCTAAACACTTTAAGCCAGTAATTGTATTTTCTTTCCCTCTAATGAACATGCATTCCCCAAAAGACTGAATGTGATTCACGAAATATTTCTAACATCCCTTTTTAATCAAGAAAATAGAAACACTATATTAAATGTTTTAGTCCATAGCGCTAATCCCCGTCACACATTTTATAAAGATTTAGTAAAAGTAGGTCCTAGCAACACTAATTGTTTGCACAGCATAGACAAATACTGGACTTCTTTTTAACTTTTATAATTAAGAAATCCTTCTCTGTTTGGAAGTATTGAAAAGCTAAGACACCCTAATTACACAGAACATGTGTAGTTAGGGTGTCTAACCTTTTCAGTATTTCAAAAAGATTTTCTGATGTTTAAAATCTACACACGAATGACATAAATTTAAAAAACTAAGACAGAAAATGAATGTCGCATATCTCCTGCTGCAACAGGGAGAAACACACACATACACAGTCTTACATTTCACCCTGAAATATGCTTATACTGTAGAAGGAAAAAAAAAAACCCAGGATGATGAAAAAAGGCTCCTGCTGAGAAACCTAAAATCTGGCAGTAATATCATATTCTGGGGGAGAGGGACGGGGGTCCAGCACACACAGAGTGGCTAATTATGCATGTTCTGGAAGACCCAGGGACTGGCAGGGGAATGTGGAGGCAAACAAGAGGGGATCATTACCAGTGAAAATGAGAACTATGGGAGGTAGTGCTGCCTCAGTGCCCCCTGCCATGAGATCATGGGATGACGAAGGGCAGCCAGTGATACAGGCATAATAAAACAATGTCAGAGTGGTATAGCAGGGGATTAAAATGTAAATAATAGGTGGATTGTGAATTTGAGTGTCCTATTGAGGTAGAAAACCCGGAGGGACTCGTTACTCAACAACAGACAAGCATATAAAGCAAGCCTTCTCTATTTAACCAAGATGAGCACTGCTGATGCATCAGATGCACAGGACAAACACCAGAGAGAAAGAGCGAGTAAAG